CAGGCTTCTGAAGTGATGATGTCGTAGAACCACTTATAAGTATCAAAGATTGTCACAGTACCGATCATACGACTGATCCTAACAAAAGAAATAGAGAAAAGTTAAAAAAGCGTATACGAGTAACGATCACTGGTATGTACTAATTTCACTAATATCATGAAAACTAATCCGAGTAACATTCTTCTCCACTCCGTCTCAAACGCTTTCCACTTGGCATGGTCAAACTTCCGAAATAGGTTGGGTATCGTCCCATCGATGAACCTCCTCCTCTTCGTCTCAGCCTGAAGGGAGAGACAATGTACTAAGATGGCACTCTGGGCCTTTTGCCTACCACCAGCTCTGGCAAGTCAACATCACGCTTTTTCGCCCCAATCACGATCGTTATCCTCCCCTTGCCCACCTCAGACATCGTCCCCTCGCCCACCCTGACGATCGCCACCTCTTCCAGGCTCTCCTCTTCCTTCGTCCCCGTTGTCACCATCTTCTCGACCATAGCTCCTTTCCTCGAGGGGCCACCACCTCATCCACCCGCGTCAACACCACTTTCTCGACCCCCTTATCCGCCATCGTCGACACCACCTCCTCAACCATCGCTCCCATCCCCAACGAGGCCAGCCCCTCCTCCGACCTCAGGGCCATCCCCTCATCCGCCCTCAGGGCCACCTCCTCCACCTTCGGGTCTACCCTATCCTCCATGGACTGAAGAAAGGAGTCCCATGCATCGTCCGACCATTACTGTGGGTGATCCCCATCTCTGTCCTCTCGATCACCCCCCAGTCGTCACCTCTGTCAACCTATTGTCTACCTGCTATATCACTTCGAAGTGCTATCACCTCATCATGAAGGTCCCCTAAATGCCTGCACAGCACTCTAACATCATCAGCTATATCCTCGACCCTCCCTACCAACTGACGTCCCAGATCGTCGACCCACTCCACCATATCTCGATGCAGCGCACCGACCTCCTCTAATATAACTCCTATCAGCTCTAGAAACAGTGCGCCGACCTCCCCTGATATAACTCCTCCCAGCTCTCGACGCAGTGCACCGACCTCCCCTGATATAATTCCTGTCAGCTCTCACCGCAGCGCGCTGACCTCCTGCACCATAAATCCAATCAGGTGATGGTACAGATCATCAGAATAATTACCCTGAGGGGGAGAAAGTGACGTCGGTGGCGAAGGTGATTCCCTGGGCGGAGGTGATGCCCGATCAAATAGCTCGCAGTCCTGCACAAACTTACATATTATTAACTTATTCAATAATTGCTAACTCATACAAAATATTAATCAATAATTCACTTACCCAGTCTAGATCAGGGATCGAATCGGACATCTGGTCATCTTGGGCATGTGGAATCCCTACTTTACGCACGAGACCCTATGCCTTCTCCTCCTCCTCCTCCTCCTCCATCGACGGCGTCAAATGAGTTATTATTTCAAGCTGACATGTTGACATTTTAAAAAGATAAAATCATGTAATGTTAAACTATGTACAATAGAAATCACAAATTTATAATACTCACATGAGGGTCGTCGAGGAGAGCCAATAATTGTTTCCCAGTGGAACATCCCTCCGCTCGAGATGCTCGCCAATGGTGCATCCGAGGGCAACGTGTCTGCTCTCGCTATGCAAGGCGGTACCCAATATAAGGATGGTCTCATATGCCCAGACCTACAACACATAAATTAGTACATACAAATTCAATAGAAAAAATATTTTAACATTGATTACGTTAATCATTTACATGTAGTGCTAAGGGGAATCCGTATATGTTGTACTTATGCATGGGCCCCTTAGGCTTCAAGTGCGGTCTGGTGAAGATGTGGATGGTGTTCTCGAAACATCAACGGCCCCACGAATAACTATTGATGCGATCTATGTCGTCGACGATCTCGATGTGGAAGAGGTCGATCGCAATCTTCTTGTGGTGACACCGCATCACGCTCTCAATGATGTTGACCAGACCTAACTTCAGGCAAAACCACCGCCCCCTGTCCCTAGAAGTAAGTGTCCTGTAGCCTATTTCTTCTCTAAGTCCCACCACTAGTTGCCTCATCGCTCATAATCTTCAATCCAGTCAGCAAGGCAAACTCGAACATGGAAAAGCTAGCGACCTTACTCCCGAGGTTGAAGTGGAGGGCATCACTGTCAACTGGACTCAGCAGCCGACATAAAAGAGCATCGATCATCTGACCCGAATACTGCAACTCTCTCATAGGGTATAGAGGCCACAAAAAGGACGGCGCAGCATATCTGCATGTTGGTCATCCAGCAGCTCCAGGACCTCGATAAAGCTGTCAAAGTTACTGTTCCACGTAACTTTGCCTAGCATCTGTCTCAGCTCTGCATCCCGATGACAATTCATTATACAAAAATTGAAACAGAATATTAGAACATTGTACATAAAATAATGGAATAAAGCATAATACCCCAAAATTAAGCGAACCAAATTTTTAATCGTATTTTCGAAAATTAATAATTACCATAAAAATAAAAATAAAATGAAAATGAAAATAA